AGTCACACCCACCTAATACAGAACACTATGAAAAAGCAGAACCAACCATTTGTTAATTCCTAACTCTTTCCCATCTTGGAGTGTGCAAAAGCAAGACTGCCTTCTTGACAATACTAATCTACATCTATTTTTTTAAAGTTTTTTTTTTTTATTATAACTCATGTTTGAATCTTTAAACAGCTGTCTATGCAGCAAAAAGTTATGTAGACCACTAACAATACTTATTTCCCCTTAGCCACAGGAACAAAAGAGTTCAGAATGGGTCTCTAAGCATAAGGCTCCTGACCCAGGCTGATGCCCCTGCACTGAGAATTTCATCACAAAATTCACACTGTTTTGGTAACAGGTTCCTGGACAGTCTCCTGACCTATTTCCAGCGACTGCATGGCTTCATCCAGGCTGTTCATCACTGTGGTGGAGAGGAAAGCACTGGAGTGAACATTCTCTTTTTCAAGAGACTTCATGGTTTCCAGGCTGAGCATCATTATGCCTGGAAGGAAAGCATGGAATTGAGCAAGTATACTGCCCTGGAGAACACACAGGACACACAGGGAAAGCGACTCCACAGAAAACACTGCCGAGTCTACCTTACTGGTAGACTGACTTACTGGTCACCTTAGAGCAGACCACCTACATCAGAAGCACCCAGAACGCCCGATAAAATAATGATAGCTCATATTTATCAAGTATTTTCTATGTATTCTAAGTGCTTTATTGTATTCATTCATTTAATCCTTGGGAAAAAGCCTATATGAAGGCCACTATGACTAGACCTATTTTATAGGTGAGGAGACTGAGGAACAGAGAAATTTTAGTTTGCCAATATGCCTAACTCCGGGGTGAGCTTGGAGGGAAGTAGTGGTGAGCAATCTGCATTTTTACAATGCTCTTGGGTTCATTCTAATTCATCATTGAGTACAAGACCTCCCAGGCTCGAGTTTTCTCTCACTAAGTGGAGTCCAGATGGCTTCCTTCCCAGCTTCTGAAAAGGGAGATCAGGCAGGCAGACAGGTGGGATGGGAATGGGGTAGGAGGTTCCTAAAGGCTCTTCCTTCCTTGGGTTTGCCAACTGTCTCCCACAGCGCTGTATTCTGGGTTTTCTGTGACTCCCCTGGAAACCCGGGAATCCTAGCAGCCCCAGATGTGAAGGAGTCCCAGGCTTGCGGGAGGGGAGTGGTGGAAGTGAAAGTTCCCTTAGGAACGTTGTTAGCCTAGGCCTGCAGCACTTAGTGCGGAGGCGTATGATGCTCCTTACCTTCACACGACTTCCTTCGGGGCTTCGTGGCCAAAATGCGAATCAGCCTTTTGGCACGCTTGCGGTACCGGCGTCTCCCCAGGATGAAGATTTCAACCTTGCCCTCGGAGTTGGGCTTTCTCATCTGGAGCACGACTTTGAACTCCCGTTCGAACCCCGGGAGAAGGACTCTGCTTGGACCTGTGGAGAATGGGAGATTCCCGAGGGATTAAGGGGGGCCGGCGCGGGGGGGGGGGGCTTGGACAAAACACGGAGCTTGGGGGCCAGGCGAAGGAAGTCAGTGGGGCACTGGCTTACAGGACACTAGCCACTGCCTTAGGTGTGCAGTGCGTGGCTCAGGGAGGTCACCAGTGACCCAGGTGGGGCCGAGGGGTAAAGATTTCACTGTACTCACCGAAAATCTTTTCCAGCAGACGTGCCTCCACGTTCAGCACTGATGGCTTCAGAAAGTGCTTAAACTTACACCAGTACTTCTGAGTGTGCATAAGGAGCCAATTCCTGGAAAGGGAACACTTCTTGCCAGCTCCTGGGCTGTAGGATTCGTGCTGGGTCTTCATCCTGAAAGGCGCCATTGCTCGTACCCAGGACCGGATCCGCAGGAAGAGAGAACCCCACGTGGCCGGGAGGCGGGACAAGACCGCTCGCAGTCTGCGCACAGGCCTGGTTGGTCCCTGCGCAGGCTCCGCCCTCTCGAGGAGTGCTTGGCGATTGGCTCCCTCAAATCCGGGCGGGCCAATGGCCTCCTAGCAGTGCCTGGCACCAACCTCCCGCCGGGCTGTTTGGTGTTGTCAGGTCTAAGGTGGAGAGGAACCTCGATTACAACACAGGCCTTCTTTGAGTTACATCATTTTCCTGATAATAAATGGAACACAACTGTGGGGTTATGAAAGGCACATTGCTCACTAGCATTAGGTATAGTTCAAAGAGATACATGTTCCCCAGCACTGGATCCCCCTGTATGAGGATCACTTCTGTAGGGCCAACCAGCTAATACAACTTAAATTGTGGTCTAAGTACTTTATGACAACTCTGTGAGGAAGATGCAGTTATTTCCGTTTTTATATATGTGGAAGTGGTGGGACTGGGACAAAAACGCATATATTAAATAGTGACCATAGATTCCCAAACGCAGAATTTAGGCTCCTTTATCCTTCATCAGATTGCTAATCCTTGAGGAAAGGGTGACTTAAAAATCATGGTTCTGATTGAACAGGGCCCATCTCCCTCCCAGGTACTTTAAGAGAATTCTATGTCTTATTCAGAAGTTATTTGCTTGGTTGGATTTTTTTTTTTAACAATACAACTATGGAATTATTATGTCATACACCTAAAACTAATATGTTGTATGTCAGTTATAGCTCCATTAAGGGAGCACCTGGGTGGCTCTCAGTTAGGCGTCTGCCTTCAGCTCAGTTCAGTTGCAGGAACTACCCATGGGTTCCAATGTGTTGCAAAGTACCCTTCCTTTGGAATCAATAAAAATCTTTGAACAACATACAAAATCAAAGTTAAACATGCAATATATTGAATCAGTATATATCTACTGAATAACAAAAAATCAAACCGTACAGTTAAATATACACAACTTTTGTTAATTATACTTCAATAAAGCTGGGGGAACCCCATGTTATGTAAATTCAAATGGGAAATTATCAATAACAGTAAGTCCAAGGATAGCATGTCAGGGCTCAGATTCAATTTCTGTGTATTCTTCCCCTCCCACTTGATACTGTGTTGGCTTCATCAGGCTGGTAGCAAGATGCTTATAGCTCTTTCCCAAATCACGTCTAGTCCCAACCAACAGGAGAAGAGAGGGACAAAGTCTTTTTCATGGCTCTTTTCAGAAGTGGAAACCTATCCTGGAAGCCTCTTAGGCTTTACCTCATTTCAAAATTAGGACATGTGCCATATTCTAATTGGATCACTGGCAAGGGAAATGAGATTGTTATTAGTCTAATCATCTGGAGTTCAATTGATATTAGGAGCTGCTCACATCATCACTATAGGATTCTTTTTCTATATTTTGAAGTCATCTGGGAGTTGAAAATGTTTCTATTGTCAGCCAGAGATTGGCAGAGCACTAGAGATACTGAATAAGGAATGGACTTCTCTAAATGATTTTGGAACCTGAGAAGTCATATTAAATGAAACCCATAAACTTGATGCTGTTTCTTTCTTTCTTTTTTTTTTTTTTCAAGATTTTATTTATTTGACAGAGAGAGTGAGCACAAGGAGGGGGAGTGGCAGGCAGAGGGAGAAGCAGACTCAACAGGGAGCCAGATGTGGGACTTGATCCCAGAACCCTGGGATCATGACCAGACCCGAAGGCAGACGCTTAATGACTGAGCCACCCAGGGACCCCGTTGAAGCTGTTTCTCATAGATTGTCTATTTGCCCAAGTATAAGGAATCTCCAGAATGGGATGTGGTAGAAACCATATTTCTTTTGAATGCATGTTTGTTAAACATATTTTCCTGTCTTTAAAAACTCTGCAATCAGAAAACTGACACTGTTTTAGCCATGGCTATCTTGCTGTGAGTCCACATCTATTAGGAGACAGGCAAACCCACGAGCATTAGGGACCCTATCCTTTTAGTTAGGCACACTCACATGACTATATTAAATAAAAGTGATCACTTCAGGTTATACTTGCAACGCTTACCTTTTTTTATTTCTGTAGAATAAGGTAATGAAGATTGTACATTATTGGCATTGGATAATCAATTGCACAGTATCTGACTCCTGTCCTATCCTGGTACCTTGGATAATATTATTTGTGTAATTTTGCATGAAAAAATTGGTTCTTTCCCCAAAATAATTTTTCTACATTGTATCTGATCTGTTTTTTTTTTTAAATCCTCACCACAAAAGTAAAACAGTTGCTTTATTTCACCAAAGGGTCGATAATTGAGAAAGTGAAAATCACCCTGTGTACAAAGCTAAAGAGAATGTTAACTTTCTCAAAATAGAAATGGAAGCCTCCTGGTAATATGGCATCACTTACAAATGTTTTGAAAAATCCTTTGCCCACCCACCCACCCCCATCCACCTTCCAAATAAAGGCCATACCTGAGAACCTCAGGAAAGTAATAATCTATTTTTAAAGAAACTCTTCAAAGTTCAGGCACGAACACATTCATTAACAAACGTCGTGCAACACCAAATAGGCTCACAGGACAGAAAGAAACACGAAAAGTCAGATCGTTGCCTTTCAAAGCAACAGCAAGTAAGCACTTGAAGGTGGTTTGGGTTGTTGCATAATTTTGTCCCGTCTGAAGGACTCAAGAGCGAGAGTTAAAGTCTCTTGCAAGGCGATCACGTCCAACTCTGTGCTTCCCCTCCGACGGCGATGGCGAGCAGGCTGGCGCTTATTCAGTGCAGTTGCTGTACTTACCCTCATTTCAGTGCCGGGTGTGTCCTCGCCTTCTTTCTTCACCCCACCCCTGCGTTCGGAGGAAAGGCAATCCTCTTGGGGAGGAGAACGGAGCCCTGTGCGTGCTTAAGAGGAGAGGAGGGTGCAGGAGACAGCGCTGTGGGAGGGGAGAGGTTGTGATCGGGCATGGGGGACGGAGGAGAGGAGGAAAGAAGGGGCCAGAACGTGGGGACACTCCGGACTTTGTCTCCGGCGCTGTGCCAAGCGCTTTTGCAGGAGATTCACACCAGGCCCCCGGGGCTCCCTCCCCCTGCTTCAGTCTCCTCCCACCTGAGGAAATAAATATAGGAAGGCTCACTTTAAGATGGAGCAGGGAAGACAGCGCGGGAGCTTACACCCAGGTACCACCCCTTGCTGCCTACAGAACCGGCAGCAAGTGGAAAGGTAATAACTGGCTATTTTATTCCTAGGGTCGGCACACTACAACCCAAGCGTGTCAAAAAGAAAATCTCGGGGGCGGATTCGAGTAAGTAGACACAGCAAAGATAGCCTCGCCACGGTCTGGCCATCTCACGTGGAGGGAGGCCCAGGAGGTGGTGCGGGTGGCAGCCTCCAGCGCGTTCCTTGCGCGGCCCGCCTCCGCTCTCCGACTTGAAGCCTGCAGCGCAAGAAGGGGGTGGGGAGGTTTTCCAGTGCCCCAGCTGGTCTCAGCTGGCCTTTTCCACCCCACACACATCCCTTCAGGGTTCTGAGCCCTCCCCCCCAGGCTGAGGGGAGGTGCGGGGGCCTGAGCGGCGCGGGTGGCGGGCAGGGAGGGGGTAGACTCACGTTGCAGCTGGTGCACGAGTGGGAAAACAGGAGGGCAGTGATCAGTTTCAAATTAAAACAAAACAAAACAAAACATTTTTTTGAGCCACCTGCCTAAAACCATTAAGTTAGAAAATCCTGCTGGCTCTATCTTCAAAATTCACCTCAAACACCTTAAATCCGTACATTGCCTGCTATTTCAACCACTAGCACTCTTGTTTAAGTACCTTCTTTCCCCCCACCCCTGAAATTCAGGCCCCGAATAAAAAATAATCGTACCTCTAAGATATCTTGTCTTTTCTTTTTTGCTCTTTTCATTTATAAAGGAAAGAACAGAAATACACACACACACACACACACACACACACACACACACACATATTTTAAAGATTTTATTTATTTACTTGAGATAGAGAGAGAGAGCACAAGGAAGGACAGAGGGAGAAGCAGACTCCCTGCTGAGCAGGGAGCTGGATGAGGAGGCTTGATCCCAACACCCCAAGATCATGACCTGAGCTGAAGGCAGATGCTTAAGAGACTGAGTCTCCCAGGTGCCCAGAAAGAACAGAAATATTCAAATTTGCTTGACATTCTTAAATTTCGAGTAATTCAAACAGGAAATCTTTTTGGTTCCCAAACTAGAATATAAAAAACTGACAAATCAAAATAAACATTGAGTTTTTCTAGCTTAATTATAATAAAATGATTGCATACTTCTAGAGTGAAAAAAAAACAACAACCCTTGATCATTATATAGATTGACACAATAACTGTCAACACATTGATTTTAAAAAAGAAAATTCTGCAGACTGGTGACTCTTAGAGTTCTTGGACCAAATTCCAGTCTCGGTGTGGGGGGTGAGTTCCCCCCAACACGACACAATTCTTGGACACCAGCAGGGTGTCCAACTCAGCTCTGATGCATCCACCAGGAGATAGGCTCAAACCAGGAGAGAGGCTCAAATCCTACAGGTCAAGGATTCAGTCTCACAAGACTGTTCCCCCCACCACCCCATTTCAGATGCCAGTAGCAAGCCCCAGGCTGTTACCTATGCTTCTGACAGGCCCCTTACAGATTGGAGGTTCCAAAGACATCCTCCTTAGGTTTGATTAACTTGCTAGAGTGGCTCACATAACTCAGGGAAAACACATTTACCAGTTTATTAAAGGATGTGATAAAGAATACAAACCAACAGCCAGGTGAAGAGATACTTTTGTTGAGATCCTTAACCAAAGAGATTCTGTTCTCATGGAACTTGAGGCCTGGGTCAGTAGCACGTAGGAAATTTCTAGTTCCGCAAGTGTGGTCAGTAGCATGTAGGAAATTTCTAGTTCCGCAAGTGTAGAAGCTGTCAGGGCAAAAAAAAAGGACCAAAAGCTCTCCATTTGGGTTTTTATGGAAGCTTCATCACATAGTGATAACTGGCTAAGTCATTGGCTGATTCAACCTCTAGCCCCCTTTCCCTCCCCAGAGATTCCAGGTGGAGGGGGTGGGATTGGAAGATCCAACACTTTCATTCACATGGTTGGTCTTCCTGGCAACTAGAACCTACCCTTGGATGGGGTCCAGAAGTCACCTTCATTATTAACAAGGCACCCATTTCACTTTTATGGTTCTGAGCACCTTTAGGAACTGTGGATGAAGACCAAATATATCTGAGAAATATATATTTGGCCATCCGAAGAAGGCTACTTCAAAGCGTGATGGCCCAGAATTCCAAGGAAATACCTTAGCTTACCACTATGCTAAACGAGCATTGACCAAAGCATTTGGCCGCAGTGATGGTGTATGTGCAGCTATTGTTTATTTTCAAGGTGGATTGAGGGTATTCCTGAAGGATAGCCAAAGTTCTGATGGTAAATTGCTTGATTGGTATTCTGGATCTAAGGACATTGAGCTGATTTCTTTGGTGATGTGGGGTACACATTTCACTGGGGTTGTTGCTAAAGAGCAGCTCCAAAATGTCCTTTATGAAAAGGCCATATCAGGAACCTCAGGAAAGTAATAATCTAGTAATTTATAACTGCAAACTTACAATTCTAAGTATTACAAAGGATCCATTTACTGTGCCCAGCTTTATCATCAGTAAGTATAAAAGTCTTCCCCAAATATTCACCCAAACAGCCTCTGTATGATTGGAAACCTGGAGATTAAGTGTTTTGAAAGAGATTATCTTGCAAAAATCAGGGAAACACTACCTGTGGCCTCAATTGAAAGGGTTTCACTGGGAAATCATAAAGGATTCTTTACGTATCTTCTAGGAATAACTGATCTTTGGAAGAAGACTACCAAACCAAGAACTTCAGATCGAACCAATGATGATGTGGAGAATTTCGACTCCAGACAGTAAAACAAGATAATTTTTTTGGTATCTACCCTCTTTCTTTCATTTGCTCTACTGATCATTATACTTTGGTGCCCCCTGGAGGTGAACAAAAAATTTGTAATTCTTTTTTTTTTTTTTAAAGTAGGAGCCACACCTAGCATGGAGACCAACACAGGGCTTGAAGTCAGGACCCTGAGATCAAGACCTGAGCTGAGATCTAGAGTCGGATGCTTAACTGACTGAGCCACCCAGGTGCCCCCACATATCTACATTTTTAATCTTTTTTTTTCTTTTTAAAGATTTTATTTGTTTATTTGACAGACAGCGATCACAAGTAGGCAGAGAGGCAAGCAGAGAGAAAGACAGGAGGAAGCAGGCTCCCTACCCAGCAGAGAGCTTGTTGTGGGACTCGATCCCAGGACTCCGGGATCATGACCTGAGCCGAAGGCAGAGGCTTTAGCCCACTGAGCCACCCAGGTGCCCCTACATTTTTAATCCTAATCCTCTAATATTTCTGTGCCCCTTGAAGAAAGGCAAAATGTGTGTGTGTGTGTGTTTTAAGACTATAGCTATTATTCTAAATCTAACTGATTAATGCATTTTTCATTCTCCACCTGGTTTGACTAACAAAAATGTAATAGCTGTTCCTTTCATACTTCAAAAGATAAATTTTCTTCTGCGGGTCTCTTCTGGAATTTGAATCTTACTCAGTATTAAATCCTAACCTTCAGTTCTATCAAAATTGGACACTGAACCCAAAATACTTAAGCTTAATACAAAATACTTATGCTGAGGGGCGCCTGGGTGGCTCAGTCATTAAGCATCTGCCTTCGGCTCAATTCATGATCCCGGAGTCTTGGGATCGAGCCCCACCGGGCTCCCTTCTCAGCGGGAGACCTGCTTTTCCCTTTCCCACTCCCCCTGCTTGTGTTTCTTCTCTCACTGTATCTCTCTCTGTCAAATAAATAAAATCTTTCAAAAAAAAAAAACAACAAAATATTTATGCTGACACAAGCAAGCTTATGGGAAAAGACACAAATATTGAGGATTTCCTTGCTGTATTAGTCTGTTATATTCAGTGATTTCCCCAGCCTCCACTCCAGGAATCTTTACATATCAGGGGATTAATGAGTGTCCTGCTTTCATTGGGATCAATGATACTTGTACTCCCCATTCAATTTGTGTGACAGTAAGCTACTTCATTTTATGTGTACCTTATTACACAAACCTATCTTTTTCTTAAATTTTAAATTTTTTTAATAAACATATAATGTATTTTTATCCCCAGGGGTACAGGTCTGTGAATCACCAGGTTTACACATTTCACAGCACTCACCATAGCACATACCCTCCCCAATGTCCATATCTCCACCACCCTCTCCCGTCCCCACCCCCCCAGCAACCCTCAGTCTGTTTTTTGAGATTGAGTCTTTTATGGTTTGTCTCCCTCCCGATCCCATCTTCTTTCATTTTTTCTTTTCCTACTCCCCAAGCCCCCCATGTTGCATCTCCACTTCCTCTTATCAGGGAGATCATATGATAGTTGCCTTTCTCCGATTGACTTATTTGGCTAAGCATAATACCCTCTAGTTCCATCCGTGTTGTCACGAATGGCAAGATTTCATTTCTTTTGATGGCTGCATAGTATTCCATTGTGTATATATACCACATCTTCTTTATCCATTCATCTGTTGATGGACATCTAGGTTCTTTCTATTGTTTGGGTATTGTGGACATTGCTGCTATAAACATTCGGGTGCACATGCCCCTTCGGAGCACCACGTTTGTATCTTTAGGATATATACCCAGTAGAGCAATCGCTGGGTCATAGGGTAGCTCTATTTTCAGTTTTTTGAGGAACCTCCACACTGTTTTCCAAAGTCAAACCTATCTTTTGTACATGGAGTAACATTTAGAGAATTTGCAATGTTTATAACATCTACTCCTATAGGAAACCGTTTCTCTCAGAAAAATACTCAGAGACCTAAATAAGGGAAGCATGGACTATTCAGGAGAGTTCCCAGGACAGAGAACTGACTCCCTCTTCATGTATACTCAGGGTGCTCCATTTCCAATAGTAGGAATAATACAGCAAGAAAAGCTGGTATAAAATTTGTCTTTGACCCTAGCAGAAGTCACAAGTGACACTACCTCTCCTCTGGACACCCAACAAACTGGTTAAAGTTTAAATTAAATGGTGGTTATAAATGATTAAATAATCTTTGTTTTTTTCTTGGCTAGGTAAGAACTTTGTTTTATAGCAAACACTGCCTGCAGCACTGACCTAAAACACTATTGGTTAGGTAGAAGAGTTGGTAGTTAAGTTAAAAGAATGACTATCGGGCTCTCTATAACAGATTCAGATGGATTTGGGGACCTGATGTCATGGCCCGGTTTTGGCTCTTTCCTTGGCAACTTATTAACAGGACTAATGACCAATTTGTTTCCAGTAATTACGTATTCTAGTTGACCCATGTATCCTGTCCAGTCTTATATGCAACTGTGCAGTCATTCTATTTTTAAGTGGTTCAGTTTCTCATCTGGTAACAAAAGGCTCATGTGAGACTAACTGCAGGGCAAATGCGGACGGTGTTCTCCAAATAGCCTGCGATCAATGGATTCTGACAATGGCATGTATCTGAACCAGGCAGATGGATGTCCTCAGGGCTGGCCAATGTCCTTTGGCCAAAAGGCGAGATTGAAAAGTAAAAAAACAGCCCTAGGAACCTGCCCCGGAAGTTGGCAGATAAACTCTAATGTTGTCTACCACACAGAAACAACTCTTGCAGATACTTTTACCAGGAAAGACCACTCAGCAATTGTGATGCAACAAGATATAGAAAGGCCATTAAGGCCATTTACTCTATAACCATGTTTAAAGCAGACAGGGACAAGGACACTTCAATCAAGACCACATTAATCGTCCTGCCTCCTACCTAAAAATTGCCAAGATAATCACCAAATTGCCCCCTTTGTACAAAACTGGCCTCTGCTCCTCTAAACAGTCCTTAGAATCACCCAGCCAAACCCTGTAATAGGCTCCCCACAACTCATCCCTATAAAGAGGCTTATTGCCTGTCTCCTGAAGCAGCATATCAAGTAAGTTCAACTTTGTCTGACTACACATGTGCCATCACTGGTTGGCTGGTAGTAACTGCTATGGTCTGAACATTTGCATGCCCCCCAAAATCACATATTGAATTCCCAACCCCCAAGGTGATGGTATCAGGAGGTGAGGTCTTTAGGAGGGTTCCTCCTCATTCACGTGATTAATGTCTTTGTAAAAGCCCAGAAAGCTTAAGTGCTTCAGACATGCAGCCATGTAAGGACACAGCAAGAAGGCTGTCCACGAACGAGGAAGATCTCCCCAGATACCAAATCTGCCAGTGCCGTGATCTTGGACTTCCCAGCTTCCAAAACTGTGAGAAATAAGTGCTTCTTGTTTTTAAACCACCCTGGTCTAGAATATTTTGTGGTGTGAACAAACTAAAACAGTGCCGGCCCAAATCTAGGGTGGCCATTTTGGAACCTACATGTTCCAGTACTTTCCATCCCTCAAACCCTGCCCTGGCTCACGCCAGTAGATTTGCTCCAAAATCTTTTGAAATTAGAATGAAGATAATTTTGGATTCTTGGGCAAGCACTGATGAGATAATTCAATTTAGCCTGAAGGGATTAAGTTCAGACTAGACAATTACTTGGAATGGATTTTACTGAAAGGATCTGTAGGCATAGGCCACCCCTCCCTGAGGCTGTCCAAGACGTGGGGTTGTTCAGATGCCAATATTTAGCACAGATTCTGGGTCTACCCTGACTTCTTCAGAGTTTTTTTTTTTTTAAGGTTTTATTTATTTATTTGACAGACAGAGATCACAAGTAGGTAGAGAGGCAGGCAGAGATGGAGAGAGGGAGAAGCTGGCTCCCCGCTGAGCAGAGACCCCCCCCATGTGGAGCTCGATTCCAGGATCCCAGGATCATGACTGGAGCAGAAGGCAGAGGCTTTAACCCACTGAGCCACCCACGTGACCCCAAGTTCTTTTTTGACAGGGTGATTGAGCTTGTCTATTCTGAATCAGGTAGAACCAGTTCTGGAAAGGAGGGCTTGCAGCGAGAAACCATGGTGGACTCTGTCTGAGAACTTTAACCTTCCACTGGTGTTTTACACGGAAGAGGACCAGGAGGAGCGCATCTTTGGTACGTGGCCACTGCCCACACCTCCGCCTCAGTTTCCAACCTTCCTTTACTTTCCCACCCCCATCTGTGTCAGAGCACCCCCCAGCACCACCCCTGGCCCCCAGGGGTGGAGGTTCATGAATCCCATCTCTGGTTGCCGGCCACCCTGATGCAGACCTTCATCGCATCAAGGAGCACAGCCACACCCTGACTCAGCAGGAGAGCTGGTTCACAGACGCAGGCCACGCCTGAGTCACTGTAGTCGGATCACCTGAGACAAGGCGGTTACTGTTCGATATGATCTAGAGCCTGGGGAGCTGGAACTCTGACCAGCAGGCTCAAGTTAGCTGCCCTTGGCTGAATTGTGGAGCTGTGGGGCATCTTGGTTTCTTCAGGAATCGCGGGGGTGGCTGGAAATCTAAGTGCTCCCATGAGTCCTTGAAGAGAGTGCCTGGAGCCACAGCCATCTTTGTGGCCTGCTGTCAGTTACAGGAAGGTGGCCGGGAGGTGTGGATGGGGCAGCCCGGAAGGCCGGGGTTGGGGTAACCCCCTTTGATGTCTCTTTAGGAGTCCTTGCCTGCCCTGGGGTTCCAGTTGTGAGTCTGCCTCACCAGGGCACTGTCTTCACAGGCCTCAAGATGCTGCAGCTGGTCCGGAGCCCGCCCCTGACCAAAGAGAGCCTGGCAGCCTCCCCACTGCACACAGCTATTCACCGGGTCCAAATCTGCCTGCCAGGGCAGGCGGGACCCTCTCTGAGGCTTTCCCAGGCTTCCTATACAAGATGGCAGCTTATCCTAGATCCCCTTAGATTTCCCTCTATTAGTAATAAAGGACTGATACCCCTGGGCAATT